TTATCACACCGTACAAACTTCATTGCACTTTGCCATACGATTTTATTTTGCCTGAAATTCCAATGTTTAAACCTCCCTATCCTATGGATATGAAGACTCCCATTTTTTGGCAGATTCAGAATTTAATAGTAAGGACGTTTAGCAATGCGAAAATTCGAACTTTTTGTGGTGGTGATATTTCGCGAAAATCTGTTTCGAAAAAGAAAACTTGTGAGGTTTAGCAATGCGAAATGACTTTTTCTCGAAGTTATTTGAATCTTGTAGTACCGTACCGTATATGCAGCTCAGTCTCAAGCAGGGGCTGTAAAATTACTACTCCCTGTAGTCAAATGCGTACCGAGAAAAGAGAAAGTTACTTTCGCAAATCACTGCAACTTCGCGTCCAAGTTTTCGAAGTTTCGAGCTTTTTTTCTGTACTCATTCCCAGACTCGAATTTTCTTTCGAACTTTCGCATTGCTAAACGTCCTTAGTATGATAATTATTTTTCTGTTCAGTGTTGGTTCGAGTCCCAGTACAGTCCGTGCGCCAGATTCAAAATATCGCACTCTATCCGTGTTTTTTTATTTTCCAGAGTCAGTGGACTTTGAACTTTTTGAGCTATTTCTTGAGAATTGTTAGTTTCTAGTCATTGCAAGGTGGGCCTTACAAGGCCCTTTTTCGTTCGAGTTCAGACCTGACACGCCGTCCATCGCCGGATAAGGCAAACTTCTATCCTCAGTTTCGAACGTTTTCTCGCGGGGTGCTTCTGTCCCATGCAGCATCACGTCTTCTCCGACTGTCGAAATTTGAATTTTTCTTTACGCAGGACTTTAGTTTAGTGCCGTCAAGTATTCCAGGCACGCGTAGTAACACCCACTACAACATCCAGAAGAACAAGCCTTAGTCTTTTAGTATGTGGTCTCTCGCCGGTGTCCAAGACCAAATAACACCACACCGACCAATTTTCTAACCTCTGTTTTCTCGCTATTTACATGTATATGGAGGACAGCTGGAAACATGTAGCACTCACAATGAACACATCAGGACGGTGTAATAATGCCACTCAGCTACACCCTGGGCGTGTATGCATTCCTGTCTGCGAGTTATGCCAAGCAACTCATCTGGACACCAGTGCACACATCCGATAAATGCAGAATATTGGAATATTTTGGTAAAATAGTGAACGGCGAAAGACAAAAACCCAAATTGCAGCCACCTACAGACTAATATCCACATACGCTGGCCGTGTAAAGGAGTGTCAATGAGAATCTTCATTGGGTTACTACAGAAGTGTACGAAACGGAACGTAGCGGACGAGCTCAAAAGTGCACGCCGAGCCAATATAGGCGGCATTGCAGCACATGTAAGACAGCTATGGACAAACAGGCACAGATGAAGTGTTCCCACTATGAAACAGTCTCAGCAGTTCTAAGGAGTAAGAACATGACAATAGCATAGAATGATGTCTTTTGCAAGAAGTGCTACGAGGCACAGCTAGAATGGATAATAGTTGACAGCAGTGCAAGCATTCACAACAAAGCTTTACAGCTGATCGCTTGTCACACTCAGATCTGCGATAATCCTCTGGCTGAGCTAACAGCAGTACTGGGAGAACACATGGATGTTTGCACACTAGCACAAAGAAGTGAGTCATTCTCCTTCTGCGAAAAGGCTGCAATACCCAAGGTCCTCTTCGTGCTGTTCTCACACAATGCCAAGACGCGTTGGAGCACGATCTACCTGAGAAGACACACAGATCGCACAAGATAAGGCAGCATTTTAAGTTTTTAATGACAGGAGGAATAATGCATGAAACACAGAAAGTGATTCAATGGAAAAAGTGCTCCGCTCTTTATATACTACACTTTTCCAATGTTATACAGATAATACACTGAACTCCATGGAAGTGGATTTGGTTGTCCCTATTAGTATAATTGCAGTGGGTGCTGCTTCACTTGAACCATATTTTGGTTCCAGTGAAGCAGCACTCACTGCAACAATTTGCAGAAAAATTTCTCAATCACATCGTCGCGCATCACATCGCGTCGCAGGAGTGATATCATGCATCGCGCTTTACAATGTTGGCATGGCTGGGCATCACTGCCGGTAGTTCTGCCAAGAGGACGTAACCCGGATTATTAACCCCTGGTGGATCGGTTACACACAGAAACACAACAGGTTCGAGGCAGTGTCTGCATGCGATACACCATGCACACAAACCTTCATAAGGTTCTTATGAGAAAAAGCGCGCTTTCAATCTGGAAACCACAGCAGATCGTTGACGCACTGCCCCAGCCGGTACCTCAGTTTGTCGCTACGTAATGTGGGCAGCAAGCCCCTTCAGACCCCTCGTGCAAAGTTGCATGCTCTTGGGGCTATGGACTCTTGGTTCAGCCACCAAAATATGAATGCAGTGGAGCTGCGTCAGCGGCGTACATGAAACGAGACAGCATTCGGTTCGTTTCAATCAATAATATCAACAAAGAATGAATTATTACAATGACACCAAGAGAAGCTTTCATGGCAATTAAGGCCAGCATGTCCATCCGCAGCCATGCAGCAGCAGCAACGAGGGTACATCTCAAGAGAATACAACTACAAGTCCATACCCACTAAAATGTCATGCAAATTTTACAATATACAGAGTATAAAGACATACAAATTTCGCACTTTTGGATTCCTCAACAGTACCATCCTAAGCACAGGCACACTAAACGGGAAGAAAACACATTTATTTATGACATCGTATTCCTTTGGATGCTTCTTTTTTCTTGTTGTGCTATTTTCAACAAGGCAACACTTGTGCTCGTAAAAATACCAAAAAAACAACTTTGAGATTCCACTTGTAGTCACATTTTCTTCAGACTATCAGTGGTGCCAACCAACTGGGTCTGTTTTGGGTACTGTAACTTCTGATTTTCCGTATTTGTCAGTGTTTTTTTTTCTTTTTTTCTTCGTATTACCATTGTACTGCCGTGTGCGGGGCTTGTTGTGTTGTGCTTTTTTGACACTCACATGCTCGTCGGTGGCTGAATTTGCTAGTGCAAAACATGTGTGACCTGTACCGCGACATGATATTTTGTGCTACATGTAGTCGAAGCATGACGTGCACTCGCTTTCACACAGGGATATTCATCGCTCAGCTTGCGCTTGCCATGCTTCTACATACATATCTGTAGCTGATCGATCCTCTTCAATTTTCCCTACCATTTTGCTCAAATTCCGTACTGCGGACGAAGGAGTGATTTTCCATAAAGATACGGAAAATATGGCAGCACTGGACTATTCCCGTTTCCCTTAGGGATCGTCGCAAAAGTTATTTTTGTTGTTCCTGAAATGAACAATCATTTCATACTCGCCCCCCCCCCCTCCGAAATGAATGCGGCTTGCTATTCTGGACAACGAAAATCGCATGCATGTACATGTATGCGTACAGTGTCAATCGACTTGCGATTTTGGCTCAACCGCAAAAAGAAACAATGATCATGTCAGGGACGGCAAAAAAACTTTTGCGATAACCCCTTAACCTTACTTCAGTAGGAACATTTTATGTATTGGGGCTCCCCGCATGCTAGTTTGTGTGTGGGTTACAGCGAGGGCTGCGCCCCACCGACCTGTGTGGATTTACAGGAACGGTCGCGGTTGGGATGACGACTACGTCAAAGCTTAGTAGTAGTTAGAGCATCGCTTGTCATGAGTGATGGTCCCTGGTCCGAGTCCTGGTGGTGACAGTCAATTCTGAGGGCCGCTGGTCCGAGTCCTGGTGGTGAAAGTCAATTCTGAGGGTCCCTGGTCCGAGTCCTGGTGGTGACAGTCAATTCTGAGGGTCCCTGGTCCGAATCCTGGAGGTGACAGTCAATTCTTTCTTCGGACTTTTCCCGTTTCAATTCCCTCAGCCTTACGGATATTTCTGTTAGTCCAACGAAAATGAGCGAATTATTACAAAGATGAAATTTGAGAAAGTGACCAAGAAATAGCGAAAATAGTTCAAACTACCTTGGAGGACCCCCCCCCCCCCCCAAAAAAAGCATGAGTGTTGGTGCTGGTGATGGTTGGGCATGTACACTGAAGTTGCGATCACTACGTAATAAAAAAAGTCCTTAGGCCATGCGCCATGGTAAAAAATAAAGTTGATTCTCAGGTCATGAGCCTGTGAAAATCGGTGCGAGCGAGCGATTTTTTATTTTAATTCCCACAAATTTTTTTATTTCCAAAGATAGGGTCACACATGTGTACGTCACAGGTTCATAATTAATTTATAATTATTTTATTATTCAGGCCAGGGAGTAGAAAAATACCGGTATTTTACTACTCCCGGATTCATGCCTTTCGCATTGACCGTTTTCATGCACGCACATGCATGCATAGAAATAAAAAAAATCGTCGGTGCGCCACCAAAAATCGATGCGCGCGTACTTGAGAATCAAAGATATTTTTTACCATGGCCTTATGGACTTGGTCTGAGAAGACTGTACCAGCTGTCTCCCTGTCTCCCATCAAACTGTTGCATTGTGGCAATGGTGCAGTACATGGTGCAGTACCTTCCAGACCACCGCTGTACATTTGAATGTAGACAGCCAAACATGGAACTAGCCGGACTCAAAATGGGTGTGGCACGAGCATAGGGAAAGAGTATGTGACCAATTCTTCCTTGCTAGATCTTAGTAGATATCGAGAGTTGAATAAGAACTGATAATTTTTTTACGAAGGCCTGTGCCCTATTTTTCGAATCCTATAGATAGGATTTGAGACTTTATTCTTTGTTGCCATCTTCATTGGACCTTGTTTTATTAAAACTGGTAGTTTCACGCCGGCATGTGCGATGTGTCGTCATGAAACCACCCCGTGCCACACCTGTAATGTTCTGCACATTCACTGCTTCAGTCCTTTCCATGGCAGCAGCTGAACAATGCTGCTCAAAGTTCCCATTCTTGATGAAAGTCCTTTGAATCTAAAAAGTAAACATTCATGCCTCAAACATAATTATTTACAGCTTCTATGATCACCAATAACAACGGCA